CAAATCGTATCGTTTGTGATATATGATCGTGTTCGTAAAACTTCATGAGCAATATTAAAGCCACAATCAAATCTGTCGTCTTTCACAGGCTTAGTCACACGTTCTTTCCTTTTCGCAAATTCTAAAACATGAAATAAGTTTTCCCTCTTTTCCTTGCATGGGTTTTGATCCTCCATCGAAACGCGCACTTTATCAAGAAATGGCCACGGTAACAACGAATCAAATTTACCTGGAACAATCCTGATATAGAGAGACAAGAAACGTTCCTTGTGAAATAGTACCAATTTGATTTGTGATTTATAGCCATTCTCGGTAAGATAAAATTTTTCGCTCAATAGAATGTTTTGCGGGTGAAATCCTCTGTTTGCCCTATCAAGAACGGCTTGAAAGCTGGAGATTTTCCAAACAAAAGGAGCACACTTCCTAGCCGTCATTCTTAGCCTTTCTATCTGCTGTGATTGTTCGTAAACCTTTTCCATCAATCGCTCCATCTCCTTACAATTCTCCTTATCTCTGGTAACTAGCTGTTCGATCTGCTTTGTGTTCTTATCATCTCTGGCAATCAATTGCTCCACCTGCTTTGACTTCTCTGCAACTTCGGCCTTCAGTCGCTCCATCTGCTGTGACTTTTCTTCATCATTAGTCATCAATCGCTCCATCTTCTGTGCCTGACAGTTCAGATGGCTAACAAGCTCTTGGACTTGATGTTTAGTGGCTTCGAGGCTGCGAACAGCTAACTTCAAATGTCCCTCAACTTGAGATTCCGAGTGAGACTTAGCGGTTGGTCTTAGGAACTGTGAGCACAGAAAGAGATTCATCGCTCATTTCATGAGACTAAGAGCTTTGTGATATTGTACTCTCACCGATCTGAGAATCTATACTCATCGTGTAGGTCTGGGATTTTAATCTCCAAAAAATGATGATATCGAATTTAAAGAAATACTATCAAATGAAACAAACTGAATTGAAATTGACTAAAATGAAGTGAAATGAATGGAATAGAATAAAATAAAGCAAAACGAAAGCGGTGCAAAAAAACGGAAAAATCTTTTCATGATATCTGGCAGGGATTCGTTGTGATCTTAACTCAAACAATAATGCTCCGCCCTTGAATTGTAGTTTTGCTTTGTCTCCACCTCTCAGCTTCGGTTATCTCCTAATTTTATAGGATCATTACCACCCTCTTTCTATGGCTTTTCTTAAAAAATACTGGCCATGCTATGATTATTTTCTTGGAAAATGCAATAGAACACTCCTCGATGTTAACTACCAGAATAAGAGGCATTTAAAATTGCTCATACCACAGCCTCACATCCTAAGTACTTGTATTCGCAGTGAACTTCAGTTTTTGGACACTCATCACGAATGTGAACATCAAGCTGTAAAGGATAACAAAAACAACATTATAACCTATAGACCCCTTTGTTACGAAAAAATGGTGTATACTTCTTATGTACAAAATGAAGCGCATAAGTTATGTCAAACTTCTATCAATGACATTTTTAATAATCATAACTTCTCTTACTTCTCTCTACGTCATTCAGACTTTTATGTAAAGCAAAACATTCCTGTTTCTACCACACTCTAATTCAATGTTCAATGTTGGCTAAAAGTTCANAGAGATATTTCTTCTTTGAAGCTTCCGAGACCTTTTGCAAAGTTGTTAGTAATACTAAGATATTTGTAAAGCTTTTTTCGTCTCCCCACCCTCGCCAATAGGACGAACGGAAGGAAGGAAATTAAATTGTTCTTTATCAATTAGTCACTTCTACAATTTTTGCAAAAGTGATGTTGAACCAAGAAAGTTTAGGAAACTCTTAGACTGATCAAATACTCGCCATTAGAGAATTGCAAGACTATGGCACCCTTAGTGTAATATTTATGAGTGGTATACCTCTACATCACGAAGTTCGCCTCTCCATGGACATCCATTTGAAGGACACTTCACGATCAAGTCCAGGATTTTTCGACCACATGCAGTATCTTGAAATATCTGTCATATGAAATATTCTAGAATTATGTCAAACTCGGTGTCCAAGTTGCTAGCATCCTTAACTCCAGATCACGAGAGCCTGGATCGAGCCCCGGCCGGGCTTTTCTGTTCTTTTCTTGTATAAGACATTCTCAGTACCTCTACTTTCCCCTCCCCCTCCCCCCCTCCCCAGGGGTATAAATTGGAACCAGGAAACGGTCAGTGAAACTTGATGAGTTACCTGTCCAGAAAGGTTATTTACTAAAACTTCACCCCAAGCCTAGTTTGCTCAAAAACGTTAATGAATCTTAAAGTCATTTTCATTTTGTTTTCATGTGGGTCATTTCTTTTCATTGCAGGGCTCTGAGAGTAGTTTCCTGATAAAATTTACCAGTTTGCACCTTAAAAGCGAGGCTTGGCGATGAATTGAGTGTTTCATCGCAAATGTTGTAAACTTATCCAGGCATTCCTCTGTAATGACAATCTACAGACGTGTTTGTGACTCGAATTCCCGTCTTATTTACCCTCTTTTGCGTTACCACTGACTCACCTCATCGCGTGACAAAGGATGTCTGTCTGCTGGACAAAACGGCGACGGCAGTCTGGCAGGCAAAAAAGAAAGAAAGATCATAGGCGGAACGTTTTACTCTATAAACATGACTGATTAATGTTCCCTACGGTAATCTCAAGGCTGCGTTATGTGAATTTAGCCTTAGGAGTAAAAAGCACGTAATAAACAGGATAGCTACCACATAAACAGTTGTGGAAATTCGGTTAGGATTCTGGTCAACGGCGTTGACGAAATAACAAATAATAATAATAAAAAAATTGATATCACGCTGGTATTCAAATAAAATCATACATGATACGCACCAAGTACAAAAGTAAAACAACTGCCACCATTGCTGGGATGGCTGGTTTGTTATCATAGAGAGGTATTCGATCTTAATTTGTATTTGTGTGGAAGAGTTTTAACTCCAACTTTACTGATTCCGCCATTAGGCACTTCAGCGTGCTTAAACGTGCTCGGCAATCTGGAAAATTACTACAAGCACCGATTCGACCGCTAGTATACAAGACTCAAACTAACAGCAAACAATTCAATTTGTTTACATAAAGAATGGAGTCAAAAAATGTTGCACAACGGATTTACCGAAAGAGTGATTCCATGCAGATGCTACAAAATCTGTGTCCACATTGAACAATCTGAACAGGATCCTTCATCGGTAAATGACACACAGGACATTCAAAATCCTCCGGAACATCGCTTGTAAATTCGTAATCGTACCCGCCTAGTTTTGGTGCGTTGTTTGTCTCCGTCATTATTGAAATGCTTTTCAGAATAAAACGGGAAGTTTATACAATTTTGCTTGACATAAAAGTCTCTGTCTTTCCCAGGGTCTCTCCTGCGGCTAAGAAGAGAGATCCTGTACCATAGTTTATATGTTTTGTAGAGAGCACATTATGGCAACAATCCTTGGGTTTCACCCACGTGACCAACACCTTAGCAACGGTTACTATCCGCCATCTTGGTGTCCCTCGAGCGTAAACAAACCGTATCTAACGAAGAGTTCATGTGAGAAAGAAGGGATGGTTTTATGCATTATTGTTGGCTGTTCGAGCAAAAGTGGAAAGCATAAAGACTAAGGATTTTTTCGTATAATAATTTAATAATTTTATTATTTCTATAGCGCAAAATTCATTATATATATGATCTAATGCGCTATACCTAAGATCATCACAAATCAAGGGGAAGAACAGGAGGAACTAGAAGTTGTTGTAT